GCGGGCTCAGGCAATCCACTCATCTCAGCCTCCCAAAGGCGCGGGATTACAGGCTGAGCCACCAAGCCCAGCTCAAGGTCTTCTATCTTCAGTTCAGCACTTGTCAGGCCTGTAACTGGTGGAAACTAGCAGAGAACTGTTTGTGTGCAGGTTCCCAGGGAAGCAAAAACCATCAGAGATTGCTGTTGTGTAACTTATACCAAGACTTGCTATCCCGAAGTGTAAACTGGTTTAGTTGGAGATGTGTGTGAAAAATGTAATGCAGCTGGGTGTGGGAGAGAGGTTTGCCCTAAAACAAAACAAAACTACAATCAGTTTTCATTATTCATAGATTGTGTATTTGCAAATTTACCTGCTTGCTGAAATTTGTAACCCCAAAATCTATACTTCTGACACCTTCCCAAATGTGTATGGAGTTGTGAAAAGCTGGAGTTGCCCGCTGCACACTTTCTCAGCCAAGGTCAAACAAGGCGCCTTCTGCCCCTCTTGTTTCAGCTGTCAAACTGTTCGTGTGTCCTTTTGGCTGTATATTTAGTGCCATGTTTGTTTTATTGTTTGTTTTTTGAGTCAGAGTCTCACTGTCACCCAGGCTGGAGTGCAGTGGCACACTCATAGCCACCAATACCTCGACCTGCTGGGCTCCGGCGATCCCTCTGCCTCAGCCTTCCAAGTAGCCGGAACTACAGGCACGTGCTACCACGCCTGGCTAATTTTTCGATTTATTATAGAGCCGAGCTCTGGCCAAGTTGCCCAGGCTGGTCTCATACCCTGGGCTCAGGTAGTCTTCTCGCCTCCGCCTCCCAAAGTGCTGGGATTATAGGCTTGAGCCACCGCGCCCGGCTATTTTTTGTATTTTTGTGTTTTTTTGTTAGTGATGTTGCTGTTTAAGGTGTCCCCTGGGCTGGGTACGGTGTCTCACGCCTGTAGTCCCAGCTGTTTGGGAGGCTGAGGCTGGAGGATCACCTGAGTGCAGGAGGTCGAGGCTGCGGTGACCCATGATTGTGCCACTGTACTCCCGCCTGGGTGATAAGAGTGAGAACCCTACTCAAAATAAATAAGATAAAGTGGCCCCCAAGGGTGGTGCTGAAGTGCTGTCTAGCATTCCCTGGTGCAAGAAGGCTGTGATGTGCCTGGCAGAGAAAAGATAAGCGTCTTTTAGATAAGCTTTGCTCAGGCGGAGTGTAGAATACCGTTGGTTGTGAGTTCAATGTTAATGAATCGGCAGTATCTGGTAAATGAGATGTCTTTAAACAAAAACAAAAACAAGTTTATGTATGGACCTGGTGAGCAGCCCTGTTTCCCCTAGGAACAGCGGTTCAGTGTTTGCTGATTCAGTGTTTGTGGTGACTATAGAACATGACTACCATGAACAATGAGACTTGTGTATGGTGGCCTGGAGGAAAAAAAAATGAGAATTGACTGTCTAACCAACTGAACAAGGGCAGTAAGCCTAGTGTGGGAATTTTTCAGTATTTGTAATTTTTAACATTTTTTCACCCAAGGCATCCATTTTTAATACTGAACTGGCAGTTTTGGTGTGGAGAGTCGCTAGAATGAGGCCGAAATGTCCTTCACACTGTGTCTGGGGGACTGCTGAGTGTTGCCGATCAGAGATTGGTGCGTGGCTCTTCGGTTCTCAAGGGCTGAGCGTGGTAAGGCAGAGCGGTGGGCACAGGGCCATGTGCGCCTCGAAGTATGTCTGGACTGCCGTGGGAACACAGAGGTAATTCTACTTGGTGTGTGGTGAGAGGCGCATAAGGCTTCTGAAGAAATGACATTTTGAGATTAAAAAAAATTATAACATGCTTTTCCTCCTCTGCTGCTAAGGTTTTTTTAAAAGTATCACAAACATTATAGCAGTATGTACATAAAATAAAGAAACTTGCTGTGGTTTAATCATAGCTTACTGCAGCCTCGAACTCCTGGGCTCCAGGGATCTTCCTGCCTCAGCCTTCCAGCTAGCTAGGACTACAGGCGTGTACCATCACGCCTGGGTAATTTTTAAAAAGTTTTTTTAGCCGGGCTCGGTGGCTCAGCCTGTAATCCCGCGCCTTTGGGAGGCTGAGGTGAGTGAATTGCCTGAGCCCGCGGGTTCGAGACCCACCTGGGCAGTGAGACCTCATCTCTACAATAAATCAAAAAATCAGCTGGGTGTGGTGGCGCATGCCTGTAATTCCGGCTACTCGGAAGGCTGAGGCGGAAGGATCGCTGGAGCCCAGCAGGCCGAGGCTGCGGTGGCCGGGAGCGGCCACTGCACTCCAGTCTGGACGACAGAGTGAGACTCCAACTCAAAAAAAAAAGTTTTTTTTGTAGGGATGGGGTCTTGAACTCCTGGCCTCAAGTGATCCTCCTGCCTTGGCCTCCCAAAGTTCTGGGTTTACAGTTGTGAGTCACCATGCTCGACCCTTTAAGCTGTTCTTGGTCTTCATAATCAGAATGTCCCCCATCACTGGCTTCTCGAGTCTACCTCCTGTAGTATAGCTGGAGTCCACTC